AGCAAGTGACCATACCACGACGAGACGAAGAGATCGCCGTCGAGATCGCCGCCGGAATCCGCCGCACGCGCCGTCACGCGCCACCGGGAGGCTCCAGCAGCTGAAGCTCAATATCGCGTGTGTGAGCGCGTGTGACCTCCTATTTCCGATCGGTCAACGCCGTTGACTTTGCCGTGACGTCAGCTTTCTGGATTGGTCAAGTTTGTTCGATTCCGAGAAGATTTGATTTGCGGTCAACTGTCCGGGCCAGCCAGATCTACATAAATTTTAAGCAGTAAGTTTTCTGCATCAAACCTTTAGATCCGCTGCGCATAGGTTTGTGTTGAATGTTTGTCTGTGATTTGTGCATATCGAGATCCTCGTGGGTTCCAACAAGGGGACCCCATTTCTCTATCTATTCGTCTTGTGTATTGAACGCTTGGGTCATTTGATCGATGCCTCTGTGGCGGAAGGCGAGTGGCAGCCGATTTCAGTAGGGCGAGGGCTTTTCTCGGTTCCATATTTAATGTTTGCGGATGATTTGCTCTTGTTTATCGAAGCGAGTTCTTTCCAGGCTAATATTTTGAAGGCCATTCTACACCTGTTTTGTGCGGCTTCGGGCCTCAAGGTGAGCGAGCCGAAAACTCAAGTTTATTTGTCAGCCAATGTTGGCGAAGCCGTCCGTCTTACTCTGGCCCAACAGCTAGGATTCCAAGCCTTCGATAACCTTGGTAAGTATTTGAGTATGCCGTTGATTCACAGCAGGGTGAATAAGGCTACGTATGCTGCCATTGTGGAGAAGACTGAAAAGCGTCTTGCCGGCTGGAAGGCTACATCTTTGTCGATGGCGGGCAGGGTCACTTTGGCCAAGTCAGTTTGTGCACCTTGCCGTATTTTTCAATGTAGACCGCTGCCTTACCGTATGGAGTTTGCGATAGTCTCGAGAGTAAGTGTCGTAATTTTGTTTGGGGAGGGACGAGCTCTAACCGTAAAGTAAGTCCTGTATCTTGGTCGGAGGTTTGTCGGTCGGAGGAGGATGGTGGAATGGGGATGAAGGATCAACGGCTGATGAATCAGGCCTACTTATGAAAGCATGGACCCTTTTGAAGCAACCGTAGTTGCTTTGGTGTCGGGTTATTTGTGCCAAATATTCTTTAGTTTCGTCGGCTATGGATGAGGACTTTCAATTTCCTCCGGGCTCGACTATTATCCGGGCTTTATGCCACGTTTGGAGAGGGACGTTAGCGGGTTGTCGGTGGGCTGTGAGTAACGTTCATCGGGCCCGTTTCTGGTGGGACAAATGGATGAATTGTAACACTCCTCTGATATGCTCGACGATAGCTCCGGTGCCGGAGGCACTACTTTATTCGACGGTGGCTGATTTTGTTACGCCGGAGGATGGATGGCAATGGTCTTTGTTTCAACACCTGCTCTATGTCACATGTTTGTTGCGCATAGCTACTATACTACCGCCGCGTGTGCATTGTGGGGAGGAAGACGAAATTTTTTGGGGCTGGTCAGCGGACGGTCGGTTCTCCACGCGATCAGCTTACCAGTCTTTGTTACAAGCCTCTGCTCGGCGCCGGGATCGACTGTGGAAGGCCATTTGGCAGTGGGTGGGCCCGCAGCGGGTGCGGCACTTTCTTTGGCTCGCCGCTCGTGATGGTCTACTAACGAATTCCTTGCGGCACCGCCATCACATGGCCGAGAGCCCAGCGTGTACCATCTGTTCGGAGGTGTGTGAGTCGACACGGCATGCTTTACGGGACTGTCTAGAGGCGAGACTAACGTGGGAGCGGGTCCTTCCACACCATTTTTTGGGCGCTTTCTTTGCGTTGGACGCCTGTGGTTCCTGGACAATATTACGGGCGATTTGAGCAGGGCGCGTGATGATTGGAGCTCGGTGTTCGGGCTTACGGCATGGAGGATTTGGCGATGGCGTAACCTTAAATTATTCCAGAGCTGCGATGTTCTGATGTCTCGTCGGATTGGGGAGATTTTCTCCTTCGTGGATAAGGTGAGATGTGCTTCTGTGAGTAGTAAGCTTCTTGACGTAGGTGGGCTGCGGGAAAGGCGCTGGTGTTCGTGGGTGGCTCCGGCGGAAGGGGTGCTAAAAATTAACAAAATGGCAACAGCGCCATTTTGTTTAGTATATTTTTGGGCATGTGGTAACCGAGCTACCCGACTCGGGTCGTTCTCAAAGGAAGGCTCTTCGGAGCTTCGTTCACTACCTAGTCGTCAAAGTCACACAACCAAAAAGGTCCTAAACATTCTACTCGCAAATTAGGGTTTTGAATTAAACACTACTCGCAATTAGAAATCGAAAGCAAGTGAAAACTTAAAAACAAAGATGAGAGCTTTAGGTCAACCGGGGTCTCTATCACTCGAATAAACACAAAAAGAATCGAGGGACATC